TCTTTATCTTGATTTTTCTTTTTACACATTGAGGACAATGTATATGTTAAGTGTGGGGGGAGAATTGAGATTATATATATTGTATGTGATTGACTTATTAGTTGCAAATATTGGACTTGTGTTAAAATTTAAATTTTTTCTAACATCTTGTCAAAAATTGCAAATTTGCCCCAAATATTTTAAATTTTAAATTTCATCCAAAGGGGTAACAAAGTTCCATACCATTAGTAGTTCAAATTCCTTCTACATTTGAGATAAATATATATGATTTGGAAACTACTTTTCTCATTTAATTTGGAAATGACTATTATGTAATTATAATTTTGCATTTGTAGGAAAATATATCTTGCGAAGTGCAGAAAATTATGCCTATTTTTTTTTTTTGCATATTTAATGAAATTTCTTTTCTTTACTTGATTTTATTTAGTTAAGTGACAAATATGGTCAATAAGTGCAATACTCTTCTCATGATTATTTTTTTAGAAAATTATTATTCTCTTTGCTATTAAAAAAAAAGAAAAAAAAAAGAGAAAATGAAAAAAAAAAGAAGAAAAAAAAGATTTATTCTACTCCAATGATTCTTGTACTTAGTAACCGGGAGTCTTCATCTACAAATGTCGACTTTCGCGTAAAATGGTACTTGAATTAAGAGTATGCAAAACAACTTGAGTCTGTGAAGTGTTGAGTAACCGGTGATTTTCATCTAAAAATGTCGATTCTCGCTTCAAAAGATACTTTCACAACTTAAATAATATTTAGCTACGTTATATGAATAAATATCTGTTTAAATAGAATAAAAAGATGATTAACTGCTATGATTTGAGCAAGTTATTTAGCACTTTAGCTCTTGAAATCATGATTAATCTGGTACCATTAATTGTGATTATCTAAGGTGTTATTTCTGCAATGAAAATTGAGATTTAACACTAGTTCAAGAAGTGCTAAACATAGGAAGTACACTCACGAGAATAGAGGTGCACCTATGTGGTTTTTAGTGATTCATTTCATGTAATTTCACTGAAGAAATGAATTTGTAACTAATTTCATAACCATGAGAATAGGTATGGATTAGTTATAAGTATAATTGATTCACTACGAAAGTAGGATTCAAATACATAAAGAAATTACACCATAATTAGCCTAGATGTAGCATTCAATGATCCAAATATAGCACTTGCATGAGTAGTTAGGGATACCACAACCTAAGGAGCATTTATTTGTTATTTTGTATAATTTCAGTAGGATAAATTTGTCATAATTCATTGATAGTCTAAATAATAGAGAAGCTTTAGTAATACCGGTAATTGTTCACTCTTCCCTGTGGGATCAACCCGATATATACCCTAAACTACTAGTTGATATGTATACTTGCAGTGAACGGGTGTAATTCGGTATTTTTTAGCTTGCACGTATGTAAAATACCCGTCAAAGGTTCTTCGGTTTAATTGAATTTTAGGATTACCATTGAACAAGACTAGAGACACGATCAAATCGATCGAACCGATTGTTCAATTTGTTTAATTGAATTTTGAATCTTTGGTCGAGAAACTAGTTTAATTGAATTTTGGGATTAACAATAAATATAAAACTGAAGACACGATCGAACAGATCGAACCGGTGGATTCGATCAAATCGATCAACCCTATCCAAGTGTAAGACAGTTTGCTTAGTGATCATTTATAAATTTTCGAACCGATCGAGTCTATCAAACCGATCATTAATCTTAACTCGTTATTGCATGTTCTGTATACTTCATCACTACTCTTTGATTTAAGGTTCTTCGGTTTAATTAAATTTTATGATTACCATTGAACAAGACTAGAGACACGATCAAATCGATCGAACCAATCGTTCAATTTGTTTAATTGAATTTTGAATCTTTGGTCGAGAAACTGGTTTAATTGAATTTTGGGATTAACAATAAATATAAGACTGAAGACACGATCGAACAGATCGAACCGGTGGATTCGATCAAATCGATCAACCCAATCCAAGTGTAAGACAGTTTGCTTAGTGATCATTTATAAATTTTCGAACCGATCGAACTAGATACGATCAAACCGATCGAGTCTATGAAACCGATCATTAATCTTAGCTCGTTATTGCATGTTCTGTATACTTCATCACTACTTTTTTATTTAAGGTTCTTCGGTTTCATTGAATTTTAGGATTACCATTGAACAAGACTAGAGACATGATCAAATCAATCGAACCGATCGTTTAATTTGTTTAATTGAATTTTGAATCTTTGGTCGAGAAACTAGTTTAATTGAATTTTGGGATTAACAATAAATATAAGACTGAAGACACGATCGAACAGATCGAACCGGTGGATTCGGTCAAATCGATCAACCCGATCCAAGTGTAAGACAGTTTGCTTAGTGATCATTTATAAATTTTCGAACTGATCGAACTAGATACGATCAAACCGATCGAGTTTATCAAACCGATCATTAATCTTAGCTCGTTATTGCATGTTCTGTATACTTCATCACTACTCTTTGATTTAAGGTTCTTCGGTTTAATTGTATTTTAGGATTACCTTTGAACAAGACTAGAGACACGATCAAATCTATAAAACATTGAATACATATATATATATATATATATGTTCAATCAATTCTAATTCTAACATTTATCAAGCATTCCGTTCATGTAGTAGACAACTTCTATTTGTAGTAGACAACTTGTATTCAAAAATATTTATAGGACATTTAAGGTTGTTATATTTTTTAGAACATTTTTAGTTGTTATATTTCTAGTTGTTATAATATATTGTATATAATTTTAACAAAATTTTAAGTTGTTATATCATGTTGTGTATAGCTAATATTCAAATTTTTAGTTGTTATATTTTGTTGTATATAGCTTTAACAAAATTGTATATAGCTTTAACAAAATTTTAAGTTGTTATATTATATTGTATGTAGCTTTTGTAAAATTTTTAGTTGTTATATACCACACACAAAATTTTTAGTTCTTACATTTTTAGTTGTTAAATTATATTGTATTTAGCTTTAAGAAAATTTTTAGTTGTTATATACAACACACAAAATTTTTAGCCACTTGATTTTTAGTTGTTATATTATAGTATTGTATATAGCTTTAACAAAATTTTTAGTTGTTAAATAGCTTTAACCAAATTTTGCCCAAACACACATAAATTTCATTAGTAGCACGGCAAAGTGAAAAATTCAAGAGTCTTGACTAATTTACTTTGGCGTCATTAGTACCGCCTTTATTTCAGCCATCTTCTCCCTCCCGTTGTCCTCTGTCTTTGTCCTCTCTCTCTGTTTCAAGCTCGCACCACCAGTTTGGGTAAACCATCCATGAAATCGCAACCATTTGGGTAACTTTGTTGAGCTTGCACCAGGGAAATCCCTAATTCGGCTGTTGCATTGGCTTGGTGGCAAGAAATCATAAATTAGGGCTTCAAAGCTTGGGTGAAAGCTGGAGTTCAGTGCTTGAAGCTTGGGGAAACCGACAAGTTAGGGATTCAAGCCACAGTTTGAGGTAATTTCAGTATTTTTTGTCTAATTTTGCATTGCATGGTAGACATCTGCTAAGGGATTGAGAAGCACATTTATGACCAGCTCCTAAGGGCTTGAGAAGCACATTTCTAATTGCATAGGTCGAAAGCCCTGGTAGAGATGCTCTTATTGTGTGGTTTCTGACAACATCCTCACAGTAGAGGACAATATGCCTAGCGGTTGTGAAATATTCCAGAGCCTTGGCAGTAGTCTGTCAGGTTAGGACAATGTGGCTTGTGCTTGCTGTTGAATTGAAGACATACTGTTGTGTATTGTCAGTTGCTCTGTGCAAAGTTTTCTTTTTTTTTCGCGTGAATGATGGACTTCTAAAACTTTGGTGCTGATTGATTATGAGGAAATTTGTAGTCCCAAGCGAAAATGCTAGCTCTAGATTCTAGTATGATTGTTGAAAATTATAAGTGTCTTTGCTAGTACTTGGTAGAACTGGGGTTCTAAAATGCCTATTCTGTTGGTTTTGTTTTCCACCAACAAATGATTGTGTACTGGAATGCTTGAAGTGTTGCTTGAGAAAATGCATGAACGAGCATAAGCAAATTTAGGGCACATTTCATCAATCCTAATAATGTAAAAGTTTCTATACTATTATGTGGCAACTTTTGGGTTCAAGTTTGAGGCAATTTCCTTATTTAGTAGTTTGAATCTAATTTTTTTTATATCTTTTTTTCTATCAGAGGAGAGGTGAAATTTAAGAAATGAAGAGAGAAATAGGTGATTTGAACCTGAAAACTTTAATTTATAGGGTTTCAACCTTAGCTATCAGATCAAAACCTTTTCCACTTGTAGATTGAGTCTAATTTTAGGCAATCTACTCTCATTTATTGGGTAATGTTGATCACATGTAGGGTGTTTAATTATTGTCTCTAATTGAAAAGAATAAAAGTTTGGCCGACCCTAGAGTGTACAAAATCATAAGGACCACAGACAACGTCAAACAGAAGCCAATCCACCCTACCACCACTAACAAGTTTATGCATTTGGCAGGATGGATTGGCAGACAAGTTTAGGTTTTATATTGATTGAAATCCTACTTGCCCAGCTGGTAAAATTTTGAACAGGCACTAGTAAAAAGACTTACTACCAAGAAGTCAAGTCAAAATCAATTAAAGTTGAGCCTTGTAGCTAATCTTCCTGTTAAATAGAAAATGCATATGTGTTACTGATTTTGGTTTATGCTGGAACTGGAAACTTTGATTGATGGCTTTCACCTTCAAGATTGATGGACCTGGTATCAAATAAATGGTGAAATATGCAGGTATGGCCCGTAGAGGTCGAAAAGGTAAGCGCGCTGCAAATGGATTGAGAGATGAACCAATTGAGCAACCTCCCTCATGTCATGAAACAAGGCAGTAGCCTCCACTTGGAACAAGCCATGAAAATGTAATTGAACAAGTTCAAGGAGACGCTGCTCGGGCACCTCAATCTCCAATTCAGAATTCTACATTGGGAATAATGCGCCAATCAGGTGACCAAGTTACTCAACAAGCTGATGGAGGTTCACAGTCGCATGAGCAGTGCCAGAACTCTCCAGTTCAACAATCTCCACTTGGAACAAGGCATGAACCAACTGAAGAAAATCCAAATCAGGATTCTCGAGGTCCACATTCCAATGACACCACCTTCATGTCATGCAACTCGGACGATGCAGGTATTACTAACTGTTTTGAACCAATTCCAGAAGTGCATTTTTTATGTTCATAACTTGCACCTTTTTCTTATTTTATACAGGAAAAGAAACTACAAATGATTCAAGTGAAGTGCATCAGAAAACCCGAGGCCCTACATTTATGAAAGAAATTTGGGGTCGGCCTAAGGACCTTCCACAGATTGAGATTAAACTCGATGACAATGGGATCCCAATAAGTGAGAAAACCTCTTTCTTTGAATTCTTGGGCAGTTTGGCTAGGAATGGTATGTATTGTCCAATAGATGTTGAAAGTTGGCTTAAGATGCCAAAGAAACTTAAAATGGACATGTTAGAAGTAATAAAGGTAATGGTAGCTTTTTGTATTATGTATGCTTTCTACAAAAATTACTGTGAAGTTATGTTGATTTTCTTGTTCCTAACTACGTTTCAGGAAAGGTTTGCTTTGCCTATGGGACTGGAAGCTTGGATCTTAAGATCTATTGGCAAAAAATGGAGAAGTTGGAAGACAGATTTAAAGGCTACATATTTTGATCCTGCCGTGCCAAATGCTGAAGCTCGGTTTCAAAAGGACATAAGGGCACGGGAAGAGCAATGGATCAAACTTTGGGCTTATTGGAAGAGTGAAGAAGCAAAGGTACAAATCAGCTACAACATTCTTCATAAAGTTGTGTTTATTCAATGCTGTAATCTTGCTTTTGATTTTGAAATTTAGAAACTAAGTGAGAGGAACAAGAAAGCTAGAGGGGAGAAGAAGATGAACCACACAACCGGAAAAAAGTCATTTGCTCATCTTCGGAACCACTTGGTGATACCTCATCCTTTTTTTAGTTGCTAATTTTTTTTACTCGTACATGTTTCATTATGTTAGCTTGTTTTTCAATTATATGCTAAATGCTAAAACTATAATTAAAAAAATTCAATTTCTTATAGGCCAAACAGTTGGGAAGACCTCCTACTAGAGTAGAAATGTTCAATAAGTTTTATACCCATGCCGTTGGAATTCCATCAAGTACCATAGTTGCTGAGAATTTGGTAAGGATCCGAGAACACAAGCCTATAAATTCTACCATTGTTTTGCAATAACAAGTGTTTTCCTTTATTATGTAGGAAAAAATGAATGAGCTGAAAAATCAGCTTCCATCGGATTCGCAAGATCCAGTTGGTCGCGATGATATGTTTGCCCAGGTGGTTGGCCAAGACAAACATGGTCGATCATGTTCGCTTGTTTAGTGACGGTGTGAATCCAACGGACTTATGGGAAGACATTCCTAGTCGTAACACATGTTACCGCATAAGTGTTCAACAACAGTCAACATTGGTCCGTTTGGAGGAAAGGCTTCAGCGACAAGATGATGAAATAGCCAGCTTGAAGAAAATGGTTTTAGTTCAACATGGAAGGGGCTCTCCAATTGACAGCCCGAGACATCCTTCATCATCATCTAACAATGTGTCAAGCCATACTCCATCGTGAGCCAAGCGACCTATTCGAGTAAGTATTTACAACTTTTAAACTTTTACATTTGTAATCTGGAATTTGGCATGAGTTTGATTCTTGTACTTGTTGGATCTTTACTAGGTAGCGAATATGGTTTCACTAAAAAGTTTGTTTGACCCAACAAAAATCGTGGCAAAGGGATATTTACGGAGTTTGAATCCATTGGATAAGGTCGGGGGACAAGCTCTTGGGCCAAACTGGTGTGAAATACAGATACAAGTTGCAATGAGTCCACGTGAGCAATTGATTAGACCGTATGATTTGCAACAAACAATTTAAGATGCACTTGGTGCACCAGTTGCTTGGTCTTGTCATTTGGTGAGATATGCACTACTTAAATACATTGCGAATTTTCTGGAATTTTAGTGACTTTGCTATGATGATCTAATGATCCCCTTGGTCTTTGTGCACGGGTGGAACCAACTGAAGAATGATGGGGACTTCATGGTTATGACTGAGGACTCTCAACAAAATGGAAAGTTTGGAAGCTACTTCTACTTCTTTCAACTTGTTAGGGATGAGAGTCTTTTAGTTTGTGCACAAGAAAGTCTTTCAAGTTATTGTAAATGAGAATCTTTCGGTACTTTATTGGGATTTTAGTACTTGCTTTGAGCACTTGTTTGCGATTTTAGTACTTGCTATGTTTGTACTTGTTATCGACTTTTAATCGGATGAATTATATTTAAGTATCGACTTCTTTTTTTAAATTGCTATATGCATTCTGCTCTTTGGGATAATTTTACAAGTCCCTTGGGATTCTGGTTGATGGAATCTACAGCAGGAAGGACTAATTGCAGGTTGCTTCCATATAAAAAAAAACTGGGAAAAACTCCTGGCAATTAAAAGTGTCAGCATAGCTTAGCTTCAAAAAACACTAATGACAAATGAGCATGTTGTCCAAAGCAGTGTAAATTCACATGGCTACGTGCTTAAAGCCATATATTAAGACAACTCAAGATGCCTTCATAAACTGGATATACTACTGATCCGCTACTGATGTTCTAATGCTATACGGACACTTTCGATTATCACAAAACAGAGTTTTTGTTGGCAGAGGGAATGCTATAGCAGCATTGTTTTCCTAACACATTTGAATGCTGCTAAAGATTTGAGGTTATCCCCACATTGGAAAGGACAACACTCACCCTAGGTGTGAGGATAGATAAAGTGTCAGGTTAGATTATCTATACTAACAATTTTAAATGCTGCTAAAGGCCATTTTTGTTGTAGTGATTGTTTGGGGTTAAACATTGTCTCCTCCGCGGATTTGTTAGCGTCTTCATTGAATTGGATTCTTTACTTCTAGTCAACATTCAGCTAGAGGAAAAACTCCTGCCCGTGGTCTATCTTGGCTGAGGTTGAGGAGTTGCACCAAATGACACATATATTCTCTGGAATCACTCATTGTTTTCTGAAGGCGAATCAAGTAGCTGATATTTTAGCTAAATTGGGCTCACAGTTAGTTGTACAACATGTATACACATCCAGGCTTCTCTTCCAGCTCCAGCTCGTGGTGCATTGATGGTGGAAGGAATTCAGATGCCTTCTATTAGGAGGCGTCCCCTTATATAGTTTCCATTTTAGAATTAATCTTGCTTGTTTGCCAAGGTGCATGGTTGTCTTCTCCATCATTGTTTATTTCCTCGTCTGAGGTCCTAGCTCCTGGAGTAATAGCATTAGGTTTGATGCAGATAACTTCTTTTAGGAGGTATATTGAACATTGATTTACTTCCTTCATTTTTGTATTTCCTGTTGAGATCAGGCTCGGCCCCTCAAAATCTTGTATATTTTATTTAATTATTAATAAAATAATGGATTGACATCCCACCTCCGTGAGCGGGGTTTGTCTTTAAAAAAAAGTTAGGAAACTAAAGAAAGAAAGATGGAATCAGCATGCAAAAGTTATGGAAACCAAAAGTTAGTCGATTCTGGCCGCAAGTAGGATTCTAGAATGGAAGATTTTGTACCTTGACTAGATCTTGAATTATAGATATTGGATTGAAGTAATTCTTTATGCATTTTAAAGCTAAAATTAAGGAATATAATTCTCATGTGGATATCAAAATTAGGGGTGACAATTTCCGACACTTTAATTTTCATTGATTAAACATAGAAAGCTTTACATGAGACATATACCTCTATATACATCTAGTATCACTATTTCTTTGCATTCAGAAAACTATCTGACTCTAATTAAAATTAGATTAAACCTAGAAGAACTAAATAAAAGGGAAGTACACAATTGAATCTATCCATGAACCGCTTCCAAACACTGATGGTCCATACCCCATTCAAGAACTAATGTCAAGTTCTCCTGTGTTCCTGGGGACTTTATATCAAGACGCACACGTAAATCTCACAGCAGTAATAATGTTATTTACCATGTCTAGTGGTAGCAATCTAGTATTCTTGAATTTTGACAAAAAAACAATCTAGTATTCTTGAAAATACAAGTATTCTGAACTTGCTAAAGATGATAAATTGTAGCAGCAAAAGCGATTCTTCTCAATTGGTTGACAAAAGAATTCGAGCAACAATGTGAGCGCCACCACTGAATCTCATCCTATCAATCAAGAATCCCTCTGTATAGCAAACACATCCTCCGAATTTTCATCCAAACACTGCTGGAAAATGCACACTGAAAGAACAGATGCCTCTGGGACTCATCATTTTCCTAACACAGCTCACAAGTGCGGGGGGATAACAAGTCAACTCCCCAGCCTCTTAACCTATCTTTTGTGTTCATGGTTCGCCGTCACAGGTCGCAGCCGTGTCACGGTTACAGTTATTCCACATCCATCATGACATATCGATTGAATATTGGATGATACGCACATTATAGCACATAAAAATTTTCAAAAAATCTGAAAAAATTACTAAAAATAGAAAATACCATAACAAGCATAATTGTCAAATTATATTTACTAACTACCTACATTATCATATATAGTTACTAATTATTTAAATAAACTAATGCTTCCATTACTTTGTTTACATGCCTATTAACACTATGTAAAATGACGAGAAAATTCAAAACCATGCTCATCTCCTGACCTATTATAGTAAGAATACGGCATTTGCACTTGATTTCCTTCATGTGAATAAGGAAAAATGTATGAACCGTATTATTTGTCTTTTAAATTTGATGACGCACTAGATGAACCATGATCAAAATATGGCAAATGTGGTGGATTTGATCTAAATTTCTCACCTCTATGGTAGTAACCAAACCCTCTATTGTGCAAACTATTAGTGGTGCTACTAGATGAATCATAATTGTGTCCACAACAACTAATGCTACTTGAATCAGATGCAGATCCCTCATAATATGTTCTAGTAGGCCAATTATAATATTCACTAGTAGAAAATATGATGGACTTCTAAAGATGGTAAGGTCCACCACATGATTCGTATTCAAAGTAATAACAAGTGGAAGGTGCATATGATCGCTCAAACTCATGTCTTAATCATCTAGTATCCAAACTGTTACCAGAATCATAGGCTCTATATGAATGACCTATATTTAAATTTGCATGTGCTCATGAACTCAAGAATATCTCCTAGAATTTGAGTAGTAAGAAGAGTCACCTTCACTCAAGAATTCAATTATTCTACTGAAATGTTGCCACTGTACTTCTATACCAAGATGATATCCATAATCAGTATCTTGAGTAACGTAATAGTTATCATTTCCTTGAACCCATGGCATGCTACCAATGTATTGATTATCCTAATAGTTACCACCACTACCACTAACATTTTTTTCATTGAGAATCTCTCATGTTTGCCCCTCCATCGTCATCATCATCAACATTACCGCTGTTATCTTCTCCACTGCTAGAGTTGTTGGTAAAGGAAGGTGAAACGGGTTTTGATATAAGTTTTTTCTTCCCAGTACTCTTGCCTTTGCTCATAAATACTTGTTCCTTATGCTTATTTTTCTTATTGGTTATGAATTGGGACAAAGGCACATCACTGTCATGATCGTTACGATGACTTTGTTCTCTCCCTTTGCTTTCATTGATGTCTTTATCCAACCAATTTAAATCATTTTCATGAATCAAAGACAACTCAATGGATAATAATAATTGACACTGTCTTCAAACAATAAATCATGCCTTTCTTGTTGCAAGCAATTTCCAATTTTAAGATTGCTAGTGGATTTATCCACTCTACAAGTACTAACAATTTCTTTTACATCTTTGTCCATAACCAAATGAATGCACTCACTAACAAATTTGTTTTTATCAATCACTCCAAACAAAGTATGCAAATCATAATTTTCAACCATACCAAAAATTTCTAAAGTTTGTTTATCAACAAACATATATTTCTTCCAAATTAAATTCCCATGTCAAACCAAGTTTTGATTTACAATCAGACTCATAATCATACTCCATCAAAATGTAACAAAGATCTAACCAAAACCACTAAGGTGATTGAGAATCAGTAAAGACTCTCATATAATATTCTTCAACCACAGATTTCTGCATTATGTTATAAAACAACTTGGCCTTCATTTTCTTATCATCTTTTGACAAATCATAGAAAGAATTGATTTTAAGAATTTCGTCCAAGTTACACTTTTTGAGATATTTTTTCATTGTTTTCTCCCATTCTAATCTTTCATCATACGTACTCAATGTATGTAAAATTTTAAAATTTTCACCATTGACAAATTCTCTCTCCATGGCAACTCAAAATAATTTACGTATCTTCACAAATAATTAATTGTTTTCCTTTCGTACTTAAATTTCTTGGCCTCCCTGACTTTAGGCTTGATCAAATAATTTGGCATGACCTTTTTCCTAATCACTACATAATACTAACAATCTCGACAAAGTCCTCACTTTAGACCTCTTGTCCAATTAGGGTCTCTTTTTTCCCTAGTTATCAATCAACGAACGAGTACTCCAAGACCAACTCTCATGATCCAATCGTTTAATATACGAGTACTCCACTACAATCTCTGCATT